TCCCTATATAATTTATATTTCTTTTTTCTATTAAGATCCAGTCGCGACCAAATGGACTCATACGATTGGAAATAACCGATACCAGTAGCTTATTTGATTCGAAGAAGTCTAATTTACGATTTTCAGATGAAGAGAAAAAGTAATAAGTTATTATAATTAAATAAAACATATAAACAAATTATTAAGTTAAGTATATGATTTCAAGTTGTTATTATTTTATGTTCTTCAGGTCACTCCAGAAATTTATTAGCAATGGTTGTCTACATCCACAAGAATTTTGTAGCTGGATAGAGGGAATTGTAACTGAAGTTGTTTCTGAGTTACCAGGTTCTGATGGCAAACAGATAATAAAAGTAAACGAACCATCACCCTTTGATGCAGAAATTAAAATGAGTAGGAGTGGTCCCGCAATTAGATTAACGTTATGTGTACCAGAAGAATCCGAGATACGCATTAATTTAGAATTTGTAATAGCTTTCAAAATAAATCCAATCAGGTCATTTATAACGAACGTCTCCTGGTTTGAAAAGGTTTATATCTTTTACATCCTATATTTAAATAAGTATCCACATTTATTCTAAGTATCTATCGTTTGGTTAGTATCCAGGAATACCGTGGCTCGCAGCCCCAATAGTTTCAGACGATACAAGTTCTGATCTTCAAGATAGTTGGAGACTTGATTTCCTCCTTCATGAGAAAGAGATACTCTCTCATACATATTCTCGTTTAAGACCTATTATAAAACAAATGAAGGTACCTTGAGAGACATTATTTGCGCCTTTATATCATTGAACAGTTTTACAGCATCATTTTGTTTTTAGATGTTACGAAATACTCAAAAGTGGACATGTTTGAAGAACTATTTCATAGATACGATATTTCTCAACAATCTAGAAGAATTAGGTAAAGACTTGAACGAACAGTCAAAGACATCTATGTTTTTCAAGGTAATATATTATAATCTATGAAACTGTGTGTATTTATTCGTATGTACAGGGTGTCCAAGAACTGGTGGTACATTTTCAATGACAGGCTCCTGAAATGATTTTAAACAATATTTTTCTTTGTTAAAAAATTGTCCGAAGCATGGTTATGAGTTATTA